TCCTCAGCGTGAGAACTTACTTTGAGAAATGCATCTTAAACCCACTTCATCATTTGTGTTCTAATCCACTTTAGGCGGAGGGAGTAGAGAGGGGGTCAGAGTGAACTTGTGCTTTCGTGGACACAACTTTTGCAGGTTTTGTGAGTAGACATATGGGAGCCATGTTTTTAACTGCTCAAGATAACATCTTGAATGGCACAGCACGTTTCCATGAGATACTAGCTCTCCACAGGCAGGGTGGAGGTGTATTATAAATCAGGAAGCATTGTTGCAATCTAACGACAAGCTGAAGAACTTTCCCAGCTCACTGTGCCACAGGAGAAGGTAACTTCATGCCTTTTATATTTTTGGACATCAGCTCCCATCAGCCCTGGTCAGCTAATAAACACAAAGGGTTGTGGATTATCTAGAGAGCAACAGATTGCCTACCACTGTTCTACCACCCCCTTTTGCATAACTGGTAGAATTTTTATTACTCCCAAGTAAATCTCTGTCAAGGGGAATTCCATTGAAATAATCTGAATGGCAAAAGGAGTCACCATTCTCTCTGTTCATGGGTCACATTCCCAATCATGCAGGCAGTGAGGATTCTTAATGAAATTAGGAGCAAATATTCCAATCACGTGTATGTGTCCAGACCACAAAACTGTAGCCCATTTATATGCAACAGATGCCTTCCTTAAATATAGATTGATTATCGATACATTCATTAAGCCTCCGATCTGATGCCCACTTCCATTGCAGGAGGAAGGGTGTGGATGTGTGTAAGACTGCCCCATGAAAAAGACCTGCTGAAACCACTGTTGGATGGACACAATCCAAAAAACAACGGTAGCTGCCATTTATTTCAATGCAGTTTGTGCAAGAGAATTTTCTGCTGAAAGTTGTCTAGCTGTAGAATTTACTTCCATTTATTTCAAGTATTTTCTTTTCTTAGAAGTATGCAAATACTTTTGTTTACAATTATAGAAGGGTATATAGGTGTTTGGAGACAATCAGCCACACAGGAACGTATACTTACACAGACACACAAGCACACAGGGACTCAGTCAAATCCATTTTGATAAGGGGGAAAGGGAGATGTCACTAGTGAATTTCACCCCTTTTAAAAAGTCCTTTTGAGAATCTATTTCAGATTTGCATTTCACACATATATTTGTCCTGAGGTTTCGACACAAATGTTTCGAATGTAGAAAAAAAAAGTCCTGGTTATTCTGAATCTTAGAAATTCATTGAAATAGACAATTTCTCTTACTTTTTAAAAGAAAAAAAATCATACAACATGCACAAAAAGCTCTGGGTGTGGATCTTGAATACACCTCAATATTTCTTATATCTATCACCCTTCTCCCTTAGCTAAATGCTAATCTATTGCAATTCTTAAAGGTTTATTTTATAAAGAAGAAAGGGAGATCTAAGGTATTGAATGGAAAGCTGTCTTTTTCCATTCTCAGTGCACCTCCACCCATCTGCAAACTGTTGAACAGGCTCCCCGCCCCCTTGGCCAGTTTCCTTCACCAACCCAACACTCCATTATCTGCAGAAATGCATCCTTACAAATTCTTCACTGCTATATTCCACTCCCTCCTCTTTAATTTCATCAGAGTTTTTTTCCAGAATTGGGCAGCGGAGTGATTCTTTTGCCAATTAATTTTAACAGCAAAATTGAGCTTGCTTATACAAATAAAAGTCTAACATCTGGAAGGAGAAAAATGGAGACCTCCCCCTTGTCCTTCCTAGGGAAATGATTGCCTACCCTTCTTTTTACTTTTATTTTAAGGTTGGTTAAGGGCTGGGGGACTCTCTCACATCTAAGATGTCTTTGCGTTTGTTTGTGTAACTTCTCTTGAACGTGAAAACAGGGTATATTTGATCAGAAACTGTTATGTCCTCCAAATGGAAGCGAAGTAAAGGATCCTTTTGGGGAGGGGACTTCTTTACTGGCGCCTCTTCTTTGGCCTGACATTCTTTCTTGCACTTAGAGTTTACATTTTAATGGCTATATATACCAACTTTTGAAGGACACACATTGGAATACGATTTTCAATGGAGGTGTGCCATGTTCCAGTAAACATTCATATATATAAATATATAAATATATATTATATTATATTATATTTATTGGTTATAGCCAGTTTTAAACTATTTTTTCTTTTGTTGCATTATTTATCCCCAACATTTATGTATTTATAAGGAAAATGTACTTTTTTTAGTATTGACTTGTTATAAAGGACTATGGTGTTTTTTCTTTGTCATTGTACAACCAATTTTTTTTCCTATTCTTCCTGTTCTCCCCATTCTTTTTCTTTTTTTAGTTATTGTAATTTAGGGAAAAGGCCAGTAGTTACCTTCGTACTTAAAATAATGTGTTTAGTTCTACTGGAGGCATGAAATCAGGCTGTAATTGTATAGTCCTCAGTTAGAAGAACTAGCTAATCCCCACCCCACCCCATTCTCCTCTTCCTCCACCACCACTTCCTCCTCTTTTTTGAAGCATCTTCCTTTGTTCTTTACAGTAGATAAGTTTATTTCTTTGCTGAAAGGGTTGTCTGTTGAACAATTCTTGAATAAACTTTCTGTTCTTAATTTGTTCTTGTCCCGCTGGTCAGATTTGAAAACAGGCAGAAAAAGGAGGTATCAAATGAAATGAAGCTGTTCAGTTTTTTTAAAAATAGCAATTCTAAATTTTTCATCCATTAATGAGAAAGGCATTTATCTGACTTATCCCTCCTTCCCCGTTCCTGTTTATCCTCTAGGTTATGACAGGCACTGCATTATTTTACAGCTTATAGAACAAGAGCACTTCTCCCAGCTGATTAGAATTATTTTAAAAGTTAATCATTGGGGGGTTGATTTCCCTCCCACTCTCCCCACAATGACCTCAGTCTCCCCCCTTCCACTTCGAAAATCTTGTTCTAAGTAGTCTCACGCCAATTAAAATTACCCTTCATCTTCTGCGGATACAAAGAAGGGGGATCACGTGCTGTCCAGACTAAACAGCCATTGGGCCTAAAATGAAAACAAAGGAAAATGATTAATCATAACAAAAGGCACACGGGCTTTCTTGCTGAAATTAAGAGTGAGTGCATGTGGGTGGGTGTTGGGGGAGAATCTATGGTGAAATTAAATCACTAAATAAAACAAGGAAAGAGTTGGAGGCAGATGCTGCTTGGAGCATCGAAAGTTGGGGGGAAGGGAAGGTGCTTAAAAAAAGAGACAGATAAGAATTAAGCTTGGCTAATCTGCCTTGTACGCTCCCAACCTAGATGAGAATTTACTCTTTGCAAAACTCTTATGAGGCTGGAACCTAATGTAAATGTCCTGTCAAATTAGAGGGTTCTGTTTATACGGCAGTAGAATGATTCAGATCGAAAATCGAATGTTACTGAAGAAAAGAGCTGTTGTCTTTTGATGACGCTTTGTTATCTCCACCTTTCTAGGAAGGGTTGTGGCAATGGGGCCTTCAAGGCAGAATCTGGGGGCAGAAGGCCACCCTCACCTACATAATGTGCAAGAGGATCCCCAAACCCTGCAAGGCTGCTTCATCACATGCTACAGTCAATAAGAGGAGGGGGCTGGGATTAAGTTCAGGACTCCCCTCCAAAACTCTTAAGCCCAGGGATTCTAGAACTCCCTAGTATTAATGGGGAGGCTTGTAGGCTGTTGCAATCACTGCTGGTCTCACTATTAGAAACACTATTGTACGCTATATTTTTAATTCATAGCAAACACTTTGCTCTGTGATTGAAGTCAGGCTTTTTGCCTTGCCCTTATGAAATCCCCTGTGAGGGAGAGGAAGAAGCTGAGCATTTCTTTCTGATTCTTTTTCTTCACTGGGTTTGGCAAGTGGAAATAAGTTTGTGTTTTGGGAACTTATGACACAGAGTTTTTCTTTATTCAGCATAGTTGGTGTGGGGATGTCATTTGTGCAGCATCTGTGACCTTCCTTGTTCAGGGTTATTTGTGTGATCTCTTGCTAAATCTCTGCATTTACACTTCCTAAAGTAGAACCATAATTGTAAGTCAGTGCTTCTGTTAGAAAGGGCAGTTGGGCACTGAAGTGGTCCTTCCCTGGGACATCCCACTGGTTGTTGGATGAATGCTCTATGGTTCTATGAATGCTCTAACTCTGAAGCTTAATTTCAAAAACTTTTTCCAAGCAAGCAATTGAGACCTTGGGCAAAAGGGATCTGTCCTTTCCTTGGTAGCCTATTGTGCAAGGAGGAAAATGAAAGGAGTCAGCAGTGAGAATGATGGCTCCACCCACTGCTTGGTTCAACCCCATCCATTGCTGGCATGGAGTGTGGCCCCCATGTACTGGAATATGCCCCAGCAGAACAAAATGCTGTTTATCTTGGTCCTAAAGTCTAATTAGAACACTGCAGATTCACTGGCTGTGTTAGCAAGACACAACCAAATCAACTGATAACACGCTAAATTTGGTTAAGGGTTAGGGTGTGTGTGTTTATGTATTAGGAGATTTAAGAACCAAAACTGTTGGGTAGTCTAACATTCAATGTCTTGCATGAACCTAGAAAATGGGCCAATTTAGTAACCACTTTGGGTATGTTGACTGAAAACTGCCTATGTAGCCTGGTACCAGTTTTAGTGAGCTGATACTAAATTTGTCCTGTAATAAACATATCCCTTTTGCTCCCATCCCATTAGGCCCATCACTGTCTGTCATAGTTATATACTGGAGGCAATATAGCTTGGTAAATCAGTTGCTGGAAAACGGTAGTGGGAGAAGACTTCTGCCTTTGTGTCCTGCTTGTGAAGGATGGAAGCATCTGGTTGGCCATTATAGAATAAAAGATGCTAGACTAATTAGATGCAACAGAAGTTTGTTTGCTCTGATGTAGCTGATTAATATCAGCTTTAAAGACAGGCATTTATATAACATCAAACTTGAGTTAAGCTCACAATGTGAGGGATGAACTGTAAACTGAATTGTATGTTCTCTGCTTTTCTGAAGTCATGGTCATAGGCCTGATACAGATATTACTACTGCTTTACAGACTTGCTACCATGTGTTCTTCCCTTATGCTACAGAAATAATGTGTATAGGGTAGAACCATCTAAGCTGAATTTGTGTTGTGGCTCCTTTCTGCAATAGCACCTCTTGCTTCTGAACGTTTTATGGGGAGGAACCAAAAGCATTCATCTGCCACAGCTTTCCCTAACCTGATATCCACCTGATTTTGTTGGACTGCATTGCACAGGTTGGAGCAGGCTGATCTGGATCATATTGGTCACATTTACATAAAGTACTTGGTATGTTGACAATAGGTAAATGCTTGCCCATATAAGATACATACAGCACAAAGAAAACATATGCATCTGGCCAGATTCATAGAACTTTCTTCCTGCACTTCATTAACTTCTTACTAGAGACTATAGGACTGGCTTGACATAGTTCTCCCTGGTCTATAGCTTCTTAGAAAGGCTGCTGCATATTGTTTTATGTTACAGTTGATTGTTTATTGTAGTATGGTATAAATGTGATTTCAATTTGCTGTCAACTGAGCTCCAAAGCAGTTTCATT